CCATTGTCCATCTTCGTCGGCTGGATCGTCGTTTGCCTCTTATGCGAGTGTATCGCACTCTCACTTGCTGAACTCGCGTCTCGATATCCCACCTCAGCTGGGCCGTATTACTGGTCGTACCGGGTTGCGGGGAGCTCTAAAGCAGCTGTATCCTTCGTTACCTGTTGGGTTTGGCTGGTTGGCAATTGGACCATCACTCTATCGGTCAACTTCGGGTTTGCATCCATAGCCGCGGCCTCGATCTCAATGTTCCGTCCAGGATGGACGATCACTAGCTGGCAACTTTTGCTGATCTTATACGCTGTCTTATTGGGAGCATTCGTCATCTGTACATTCGGTAACCGGTATCTACCTCAGGTGGACATGATCTGCGCACTCTGGACGGTGCTTACAATTCTTGTCATCCTTATTGCGCTCTCTGTGAAGGCGGGTGCCGGCAGGCATAGTGCTGCCTATGCATTAAGTCACTACGACTCCAGCTTGTCGGGATGGTCGGGCTTCTCCTTCTTCATTGGACTTCTCGCGCCCGCATACACGTTCTGTGCCATCGGCATGGTTGCATCCATGGCAGAAGAATGCAACAAGCCAGCCGTGGAAGTACCATGGGCCCTCAGTCTCTGTGTCCCCGTAGGGTGCATAACAGGTCTATTCTTCATCCTCCCCATCTGCTTCACCATTCCCCCTTTGGAAGATGTCATCAATGCCCCTGTTGGTCAAGTCGTGCCATATATTTTCCATGTAGTCATGGACAGTCCCGGCGGCGGCCTTGCTCTCACTGTGCTTGTTTTGATCGTCAATTTCTGCGCTAGCCTCAGCATTACCGTCTGCGCTTCACGAGCCAGTTGGGCGATCGCTCGAGATGACGCTATCCCTCTCTCGCGATTATGGGCGCGCGTACACCCGGGCCTTGGCGTACCTGTCTGGTCCTTGACCTTCGGCACCGTCATTCAGATGCTTCTAGGGCTCATTAACCTCGGTAGCAGCGAGGCCTTCACTGCCTTTGTCTCTGCGGGTGTCATCGCTCTCGCAGTCTCGTACGCTATCCCCATTGCACTGAGCCTCCTGAACGGCCGTCGCGAGGTGTCCCAAGCTCCTTGGACGTGTGGCCCCATCTTTGGACCAATCGTCAACGTAATCGCCTTATGCTGGATTGCCTTCGAGCTGGTTCTTTTCAGTATGCCAACTTCGCTGCCTGTCACTAGTGTTTCCATGAATTACGGCTCTGTTGTCGTCGTAGGATTCATGGCCATCTCGGCATTCTGGTACGCCGTGCATGCGCGGAAATGTAGGTCTTCTCCACCCATATCACAAAGTATATTACAAAGGAACTAACCATATCATAGCTTTCAAGGGACCACTGGCAGCAGTTGAGATGATATGACTTTTTACAGCCCATTTGTCTAGTCAGTCACGAAACTTTTATGATCTCTATATGTCTAACGGTAGTCACTGTATTTGCTCTGCCTTATTCATTGCCAACGTACACCTGATACTCTGAGTATACCTGATTGCTCCGCAAATCTTATGCTTGTTTCATATGTCGATATGCAAATCCGTACGTGAGGTGAACTGTTCCAAATCGAATTCTACAGTTATGATATTCAGTGTAAATTCGGTGGTTTGACTAGGCAGAATCGAGCTGGAAGATCTATCATGTGGGAAACCGCAACATAACAAAGAACCATTATAGACGGCGCATGGGTTTTCAGGGGATATGGACATCACCAGTTAGCGAATTGCTATCATGTTAATACTCGTAGTTACTTGCGGTATGATTCCAGCCTCGGCAAAGTAGATCATCATGATCCATTGGGCACACTTCCACATATATATATCCGCATCCGATATAGACACCCACCCCATTGAAGTGAGGCTCACGGGATGGTAGTACTACTAGTAGTTGAACGCCACTGCATGACGGGTGTTTCAATCCCGGCTATTATGAAAGAGTAGATTGTCTATTAATATGTTCCAAAATTCGAAAGTACATCCAAAACAAGATTTTTTCTATCCTGCACTACGGTAAAGAAAAGGTCATGCAGTCAGGTTTTGAACACTTTCACTCTTACAGGTACCGTTTACAGCTTACTTACTAGTAACAACGGTATGTATGTCTTTACTGTATCTTACGATACATCGCATTATATATATATATATATATATAGTCCATAATAAAAGTAAGTAGTAGGTGATGACCAGAGTAAAATGTGCGTAAATTACCGCACAAGCATCAGGAATTGGTATGCAACAACCCTTAATAGTTTGAATCGTCCTGGCAATCCAAACTTCCAGAGAAGTTCAGCATATCTCTACCATAATCAATGCTATAGCCTCTGCGGCGACGCGGGAGTCCCTCATTGGGCATGCGACGCGGCGTTGATGGGGCGTTTTCGGATGGTTGTCGTCGACGCACGACCTGGTAGCCCTTGTCGATCTCGATTTCGATGACGCAGCGGACTTTCAATGCGCTGACGGCGGGCCAGACGCCTCGCTCTCCTTTGAGAGACCAGTAAGCCAGACGGTCTTTGCTTGGGTTCTGGAAGAGCTTGGGGAGGTCCAGGAGGGAGACGTCGGGGACGAGGGTGATATGGGGGCCAGGGATGGTCTCCTCGATGAGGAGCCGTGCAAGAGTGGCTGGAAGGAGGCCCATGTAGTCTAGTTGTCCGAGGCGGTGGTGGAGCTCGGCAGTGAAGAGACGCATTAGAGCCCGGGTGATGCTCCATTGGTCGGTTGGGCGACGGTCCAGTAGGTTGGAGTCTGAGCGTAGGAAGGGGATTAAGTATGGTCGGGCCTGCGACACGATAAAATGGTTGACGTTGAATAGCTCGGCAATCCGGGCTAGCGGTGATTCTTCCTCTTTGTATTGACCTTGACGCCAGGATTGATAGAAGGTTGCATCCCGAGAATGCGGCCAAGGTACGATCGAGCCTGTTTCGTCTTTGCAGTATATTGTGACTGGCTGGTAAAGTGAGTTGTTGGATGCGTTGGAGGCTACAGCGGCGGACCAGATCAACTGTGAGAGGAGTTAGACCATAGACCGACCAGTAATGATAGGGGCAGAGAGAGCGTATGTGTTTCGCCACGTACCACATTCGGTGCAGTCAAGTAGTTCAGCAAATTCGGGGTAGCGTTTTTATTTGATGTGGCAACAGTGATATTGAGTATGCGCTTGGACCGGGCATATGCTTCTTCGAAAGTGAGATCACCGAGATTGGCGCGCACGCATTCTTCCAGCACCTCCGCATCAAGGAAGTAGCCTTTCTGGATGAATCGATTGACTCGCCGCAAGAGTGTCCCCAGCCAACTGTCTCCGAGGTTAGTAGGCAGCCACCAACTCTCTTCTTCTGGCCGCTTCATCCGCCGCCTACGATCGAAGGCGCTTAGATCAATGGCACCGCTGTCAAGGAATGTGAGCAGCTCATCTTCGCTATGGATACCCACCAATGCCGCAATGAGCGCCCCCATCCCTGTCCCGGTGATGATCCTTGGCAAGAGGCCACGCAAATGGAGAGCCTTCACCACACCGAGGTGACAGAGTCCGAACATGGAACCGCCCTGTAATAGCAGGGTCGTTCTCCCGAATGCCTGCCGAGTATCGTGCAAAAGCTCAAGTTTTGCCTGCGACGAGAACCCGCTGTCGTGGATTGGAGCCGTCTGTAGAGCGGTGACCTGTTGAATCGAGAGTGCGACTTGTGTGATATAGTCATCTATGAGAAGCTTGGTCCCGGCGTAGGCATGCAGAAACATCTTGGGGGAGGTGATGTTGCCCAGATTACGGAGTAACCCGGAGCGAAGCAGGTTCGCAAGGGTCAGGATATCCTCATCCTCGCGAGCGCTCATAAGAGCTTCCAGTCGACCCAGTATCAGTCGGTAGTCATAATGCCGGCTTGTGGGATTCTGACGCCTAGGCAGGAGAGTCAGGAAAGGACAGAGATTGGAGATGATGCTTTGGACGCCGGAGTAGTATATTCGGCAGGAAGGGAGAGTCTGCTCACCAGAGATCCATGCTGAGGAGCTCATCAAGCTCGAAAGCAGCCTCTTCCCATTCCTCAAAGGTAGATGCTGTCCTCAGGACATGTTGCAGTCGCTTCCGGGGAGACTTGGATCTCCACCAGGACAGTAATCGCTTAAGATGGAGAGCTGCGTTAGCTACCTGCCCAGCACCAACTAGCTTGTAGCATTCATCATCCACATCCACATCCACGGCAGGGCGGGACTGCAGGGGACAACGTACTTCTTTCCAGAAGAAGGCGACGTCGAGTATCATAGTTAGGACAGCGAAGAATATTCGGCAGATGGTCGTCCAGGACCCCATTGCGACTGGAAAGAAACAACCGGGCTTTCTCACTCGGCGGGGAAATCAAGAACAGCGTTGGCACATGGCGAGGGGAAGCGACATTCACATGCTTGACGCGGTCAGCAGGGTCTGGACAAAACAGGGAAAGCTACCAAGCATGTGGAGGGGAGAGAATATGGTCATATACATGAGAAGCCTGGAATGACAAGTAACTGATGGGAATGAGAGAGGGGTGCGGAGAGAAGTGATGGAAGACAATGAAGAGGAAGACGATGATGACATACACCAGATGGGGGAAGGGCCTCTCTCCCCGCAAACCATCGAAGATGCATGGAATCACTCCCCATGATCTATACTATTATGATAATCAAACTTACCTCGAAACTAATTCCAATCACTCTACTACACAGCAAATCCATGGCAGGGGAATCCGTCTAAAATGTCGATGAGGAACAGAAAAGAGGATATTTGGATTGCTCAGTAAAAGCCGACCGGTAATTTTTGTCTACACACCACGCACACACTGTCATTCTCTCTCCCAACGGAGGTACAAGGAGTCATCCCGATCCGTAAACACGTCAAGGGGGGCATTTGAATTCCATGATTTTGGTTTTAAATTCCGCGTTGCTTCCCTATGCAAGTAGGCGAAAAAAAGAGATTCTCCAGACATCCGTCACTACCCACCAAGGCGGACAACCACCGTTTACTCCTCGACAATGTTACCCCGCTCCGACACGTACAGACCGTCAAGGAACTGTTAAAAAAATCATCATGTCAGTCATCAAACGAGATAGCCAAAAAGGTATCTGGTGGTATTCTTCTTACCTTACGGATATCCTTGTTGCGGACACGGCAGATCTGCTGGATGTCGGCAGCACTCTGGGAGACACCCTCCAGGGAGTTACCGGAGATCTGGAGCTCATCCTTAACGTTGGGGGAGGTGATGACCTCAACGCCAGGCTGGGCGGTCACACGGCGGACGTACTTCTCACCCAAGAAGTTTCTGTAAAACGCAAATACCCATCAGCAAAATGTTCTTTCCTCCAAAAACATGACAATTGACCCAAGCACTGGTAGGAAGAAGCCGGAACCCGAACGGGAAAAGACTAAAAAAAATCCTTTGGTCGGATCCCGGCTCATCCCCCAGTCTTCGATGTGCGTGCGAGTAGATTGAGTTCGGCATACCTGATCTCAACGTCGTGCAGGCCGGTCTCGGGGTTCTTCTCAATGTTGACGTTGATGGGAAAGTGAGCGTAGACGTAGCGCATCTTGTACTTGAAGCCCTTGGTGACACCGATGATCAGGTTGTTGATGAGGGTGCGGACGGTACGAAGGGAGGCCATTCCCTTGCGGACACCGTGGTGCATCTCAATGGAGATGACATTCTTCTCGGGGCGGCCGAAGGTGACGGCAATGTGGGAGAGGTCCTTGACGAGCTTGCCTGTAGGAGGGGGAAAAGGACCCATGTCAGTGTCGCTGTAATCAGACGGGTGCGGCACATGGCTCGAGCCGTAGGCCACAAAACGCCATGTAGAACAAATTGGTCGAAATTGTTCCAAAGGGGCCGGTCGTGGTGGATTGTTGGAGAATTTGCATACCTCGGGGTCCCTCAACGGTCACAATGCGCGAGCGAATGTGAACCTTCACTGTATGAGGAAATTCGAATCAGTCCCATGTCCTTTTTATCATATCACGCAAAACTGAGATCGCAAGAATCGATCGCGGGGACAGGCATTCAGTGTGGCATCTCCCTTTCTTTTTCTCTTCCTTCCCCTAGCAATTGCCGGCTTGTAACTGGCGCAGCGCTATCCTCAACCTCCCCCCAAATCCTCGATGCCATGCCTGTCCCTCCGTCCAGATCCTCCTCCGCGTTCACGCAGCGAACAGAGCGACAAAGATCGGGGGAATAAATCGAAGCTCACCATTCTCGGGGATAGGCAGCCGTTCCTCGGAGTAAATGTACCGCATCTTGACTGCGTGGGCTGTGGTGTGTCCGCGAGGGAATTGTCGATATCGTCGAGCGGTCGGTCGTCAAAAGGATCGAAATTCGACAAGGCAAACCGCAGTCGAGGAGTGGTGGAGCGAAAATCACGGGTTGTGCGTCGCTTACGGCCCAATCCGGATTAGTCCTCTTGTCCGCCTAGGGCTGCCCGTTTTGGGTCTAGTCCCGACCCGTCTTTTGGTTCATGGTATTTTTCACGAGCAGAAAGATAATAATGAGCCTAACAATTATAATAATGAATGACCAATATTCATATAATGAATCATTATACCCATCTCTCTCTTTTGTACTCCATGTTATCAATCATTTGTCCTCTGTGTCCTGCCAAATGAGGAGTTCTTCCTTTGCTCAATGCGTGGGACCCCACGAATTACGGGCAGCTGGCAATGTTCTCATTTCTCAAGGCTCTTAGACTCCATACTACACAAGCCAGTTATCAGAAGTCTTTCTTGCACAAAATATCGTGGTGTCAATTATTACTAGTATACTTCGTATGAAAAGATCGCCTGTTTACCCACCCCTACTATGTACTTAGAATACATAAAACCCTTCACCCACTTGGGGAAATACCTTCCATATTATGTTGTACAAATCCGTGGTGCTTGGGGACTATCCAGCCAGCCCATTTGGATGCCAATGGAGACCATGGTTTCAGTGCCTGGCCTGCTGGTTCAAAAACAGAAACCCCCATTGCTTCTGTCAATCCGGGCATACTAGGCATTCATCTCTTTGCTGCCTTCCTACTGGCTTCATTCTTTACGATGGACCTCCTGGACCCACTTACCCCCCAAGCTTCTCAATGTTGAAGCCAATTCGTCCTTTTGATCCAGAGCCGTCACATCATCCCCTCCTCCAATGCTTTTCCCGTTAACCAACACGTTCGGGACAGTGCGACGCCCGGTATTTTCTCCCAGCAACGCCTGCAGCGGTCGACCCAACTCATGCTTATCAAGTTCCACCACGAAAGGTGCAGGAACAATCGAGTATTTGTCCAAGAGGATAGACTTCGCCTTGGCGCTATACGGACAGTAGGACTTGGAAAATACAATGACTGGAGACAGCAGCACATAGGGTTAGCAAATGTTCCCAAACACCAAAAGGAAGGTCTCCCGTAGTAGGAAAGAAAACAGGAAGACTGCGTACTTGGTGCCCGCTTCAATATCCCGTTCAGCTCGGCCACGGCGGCCGCATGATCATCTGTCTCCGGTTTCTGTTCTTGCGGCTGTTCCGACGTCTCTTTCTCCGGGTCATTTCGGTTCTTAGGTACTGTCATCTTGGTTCTGCCTGCAATCGGGATCTCTTCTACTTCGTCCGCATCGTTGTTGGCCTTTGGGATGGCCGGTTCTTCCTTATCGTTGTCCATGGCAAGCTTCGTCTCTTCCTTGATAGGGTTCTGTTTGGGCTGGTCCTTCTGTGGCGGTATGTTGGCTGCTGTTCCGGCTTCCTTTGCCTGCTTTTGAGCCTCCATCGCCGCCACGGTTGATCGGTAGAATTGTTGGTTCTGAACACTCCGGGCTTCACTCTATATGGAATTCATGCATCGCATTAGCCATTGTAACGTTGAACCTCCGTATGGTCACGATGTCATAGAGTATATTACCGAGTAGTAGAAAGTCATGATGATTATGACCACCACGGCGATGGCCAGAAGCCGAATGCGCCGCTGCGAAAGCATCTTGACAAAGGTGTGACACCACGTCCAAACAGGAACACGGCAGGAAGGAAAAGAGAGAAGGGGTGATTCGGCGAAAAATATAGAACTCTCTCCCTCTTTTTCTCTCTCACGGTGCCGATACTGAGTAATTGCTATACGTCACAAGGATTCCGAGCCAGTGGCAGCTATGCGCATGCGTTCGCGTGGTTCAAGAGTAGGCTGGTTGAGCCGACAGGTCATAGGCGCAGCTCCAATTCCAAGAATAGCTGGACATTGGGCGAGCAGACAACCACGAAGCCTCTGCAAAGCTCGAGATTTGGTATCAGATAAAGATAATAAATATGAGAATAACACCTTCAAGAATAATGATAATACAATAGATTAGACCCCCAGGATAAGCATGGAGGGGAAGTAGATGACTGATGGGGGGAAACTTTGGGGGAGGTTTACTTTACGGGGGGAGAAACAAGGCAAGGATTCCGATTCATGAGGAGAGCAAGTGGGGCAGAAACAGCTAGTCGGGGTTGGCCCGCCCTTCATTCATTAGTTTACTACTAACTACTGCTAGCAGTCCTGTCAACATCTACAACATCGCATAACTATCTATAGCCTATTTACTGACGCCTAGACAGATTCGCTAAATTACTCGTTCCCATCTCTTGCACTGACACAAACATTGATTATGCATTATATTAGCAGGTATCTCTATGTATGCTATGATCGGGGTATGGAGCTAATAAAGGGATGGTATCATGATTAAAAGCACGAAAAAGCAAAGGAAAAAAAAAAAACGACAAGGGCATCAAGTCTTGCTAGTGACACGCACTAGATAGACACACATGTGGAGGAATAACAGCCGCAGCAAAGCACCGCAGAACCTGCAGCGGTTAGGGTTGACCCATTCTAGACTCCATCCAGTAAACGGGGGTCTTCATCGGCTTTCTCTTCCTCCTCCTTATACGAGCAACAAAATTGCATGCTCCGCATAACCTTCATCACGCTTGGACTGCAATGCCTGAACGTGTTCCAACGGTAGCTCTGCGCTTGCCCTGGACCACGATCATCCAATCTTCCCATTCCTTGGCAATCTCCATGAGCACATTGCCCATCACTGCCGCCGAGGCCATCAGCCCATGACCCTCTCCTTCCAGCACGCGAACCTCACATCGTCGCATCATTTGTCCCAGCCATCGGACATTGTCCACCGGGACACGGGTGTCCCGGCTGCCATGGTGGATGACAACGTTGCGGGTGATATCCACATATCGGAAGCCAATGGGCTGACGACGTTCCAAGCAGACCAGCAGATCTACCGCCGGGTTTGCATTTGTAGTCGCTAACTCCCAAATCTTATGCGTAAGTCGGTTATCGTAATCGGTCTGGCGTTCCCGTTCTTGCGACGTGGCAAGTAAGGCCTGACTTGCTGTGGGGTCGGCCTTCGGGTATCCCTCGGCAGCAGAGAAATCAGATGCCTTCAGTCCCTCAAGGGCCTTCAAATCTGCCCCTTGCTGGGAGATCTTGGATGGGAGCCGTTGCGTGCTCTTGGCTTCAGCGCCGGTGGGACTGGAGCTATCCTTGAGCAGCCCTTTCCGTTTAGCCCGGCGCGGAGACTTTGGGAGGCTAGAGGTCAGGCTTGCACTGGTTGCAGTCATGAAGCTTGAATTGGCCACCTTGAGAATGGACGTCGGTAGGGCTCGGAGAATCCGCTGGGAGTACGGGACGGCATTCGTGGGGACGGGAGCCTTTTGCGAGCCAATGCTAGACAGCTGCGAAGGTGGAATCCAGGGTGCTAACAGATGAATGCGGCCCCGGATATGCTGTGGGATCCGAAGCGCAGTAGCCAACGCATAAATAGCACCCGCAGAGTGCGCCATGATCGAAAACTTGGTAACTTTGAGGTGGTTGCACACAATGGCGACATCATCTGGGATACGATCATCAGTAAGGACAAGGCAACAACCAAACTGGAGGATACTCACCAGGCCAACTGAGGGGAGTTCCCACCTCGTCGACGTAGGGGCCGCTTTCTCCCACACCGGGACGATCCAATGTAATGAGCCGCAGGCGCAGTGATCGTGCCAGCTCATCGTAGAACGCCATCAGATATCTGGTGAGGCCCATTCCAAGACAGCAAAGTACCACATATCCCTTAGGATCTCCAACCTCGGAGAACGCTATGGTACGGCCTGATGTAGGATGTGACACCTTCTGGGTAAGTTTCGGGGAAGATATGTAGTCGTAGACCGCAAGATCAATGGAATCGGCACTTGTGGGGCGTTCCTCCCCACTCGAGACACCAACGGGAGTAGCAGAACCGGATGGGGAGCGCTTATGGGCAAAGGCTGAGGTCGATTGTTCCAAAGGACCACGGTAACGAGCAAGCTGGTCAAATCTCTCCAGAGACGGTGGCGGGTTACTGATTGACTTCGAGGCCAGCGAAGAGCGGCTCTTGCCCGTCATGACTGCTGGGGCCGGCGCACTCTCGTCGAAGCCACCATTTGCTTGGCGGACGATCTGCCTATGCTCCATCGTTCCGCTGCTGGCACTGGCATTCTGCATCTCCCGGGCAGATGCGACGGCGGGGGCAGGCTTAGAAGGCTTCTCCGGGGTATCATCTATTTCTAGTTCGCTCTTGATCTTTTGTTGCTGGTCTTTCAATTCTTGTATTCGCTTCGTTACCTGTTCGGCTTCGTTGCCCACGCCCGATACCGCACTGTCCACTTTCATCTCTCTGCTACTGGTTGAAGAGTACCGGCTATGGCGGGTGGATCTGCGGTGCTTTGGGCTGGAAGAAAAGCTATGGCGTAACGAAGACTCGCGTGCAGGAATAACACGTCCGCTACCAATACCGCCTGGTGTACTCGGCGCACTATCGCGAGCGCTTTGCAACGAATGGCGTTCCTTACTGGAGGGTCTGCTGAATGTCGGTTCCCGGCTGGGCTCGGTGGCTGCACGCACTGGGCGTGTCTCCTCCACGACGTCAGCCATAGAACACAACGAACGTATACTAGCACGACTGCGCGGTATATTGTGTCTCAGGCCGTCGTTGTAGCTACACGTTTTGCGTAGCCGTTCGGTTTTCCTGTCCTTATCACTGGAAAATTCTCGAGATGGCCTCTTGAGGAGTCCAAACTGATTTCTCAGGCTCTTCCTAGAGCCCGAAGATGCCACACTATTTGCTGTAGACACTCGTGGGCCCGGTTCCGTGGTGATAGTACCAAACGCAGTATCTTCATACGCTGCCTTGGATGACGTGTATGAGCCCCTAGATGTCGGTCTTCCCGGAGACAAGGGCGGATCGAAAGTCGCTTTATGTTTGGGGGATGGAGGCGCCCGTGCCATGCGAATGATAGGAGGAGCCGCCGCATCATCTGGATGCAGAAAGGGAGTCTGCAATGCCTCCTCAGACGCCTGCCGCGTCCTGTTCCTCACTGGAAGATCATGCTCGCTGGGTTGCCGTTGGTCAAGACTGGGAGGTTGACCTGTGGGAATGTACACTGGCGCAGAAGGATTCGTCTCCGTATCAATGCGCGGGATGTTGTCGAAATGCGACTGGAGAGGCACCGAGATTGTTGAAAGCGAGGAAATCAGAGAGGAAATGACTTCGGGAGACGCCGGGTCAACCGCCGTTGCTGAAGGGTCACTAAGCTGCGTGCGCGAAGGGATGGACCTGTGATGCCGGGGAAGCGAAGGGGGGGAGTGAAAAGGGGCGTCATCAGACTTTGACGCCAGAGGATCCTCGGCGCGATTCATGGTTGCCATTGACAAGGAATATGACGGTCTAGAAACGTTCCCCCGGGCCAGGATCAGGAGACAGTTACCGACGATATATGCGGTCGAGCGTAGTGCGCGCTTGCATGATCCAGTGAGAACGCAAGATAGCGTATGCAAGCTCGGTAGCTTAACGGCAAGAATCAATAGACTGCGGGCGCTTGGCGCATGTGCCACTTAGAATCCAGGCTGGAAGATCCAGGGCGGCCCTATGGAGCCCCTGCAGGTTGCAAAAGCAAGCCCCCTTGCCGAACGGTGATTGTCTAGAAGCAAGACCTTAACGAGGAGGGTGGGAGAGGGAGGGGGGAGTTTGTTGGAACTGCCGATCCGAGAGAGGGGGGGAGAAGGCGACTGGAAGGGTTGTTTTGGTTGGGAGTTAGTATAGCGCAATTGCGCGCGAAGAGTGGAAGAGAAAAAGATTGGTGGAAGGGAGCGGATAAGATAAATATTATTTGCATTAAATCATAAGAGGAAAAGGGGAAGAAGCTAAGTAAGTGGAGGAAAATGGACGGACGGAGGTACGATCGATTAAGGGAAATAAATGTACGGAGTACCAAAAAAAGAAAAGTATTTAGTTCAGAGAATGGAGGGGCAGAGGAAAGCCGAAGGATGGATGGATGGAAGGGAGGAAGGAAAGAAAGTGAAGATTGTGAGGAGACAAAAAAAGAAAGAAAGGGAGAAGAAGAGATAGAAAGAGATCAATTCAATTGATCCCCAAAAAGCCACAGATAGAGAAAGATGCTGGCCATTAGATAGGTAGGTAGTACTCCGTAGATGCTTACTGCAACCTCTCCCTTCCTCTCTCTCACTCTCATCCACCAGCAGAACACAGCTTCTCTTCTATGCCTATCACCCTCACCTGATGGATGGATGCTTTTGCGAGACGGCACGCCAGGAACAAGGAGAGAGAGAGAGGGAAAGATTAATTAGTGGACTCCCTTCCAAAAGAAATTCGAGGAAGGATTTCTGCCCTGTCATTTGCCTGACCGAATCCCCGCCCGTGTTTAGTGTCCCTGCAGGGCCTCCACTCCTCGATTCCAATTGAATGCGCCATTTCATCCTCCGCACAGTTCGCAGATCCAAATTTCATGGGTGTGTGTATACAAAAGCATCTAGTCCAGCATTGGATAGATATGCCCTGCTAGCTAGGGGCACATGACTGCCTCCTCAAGAATGAGATCAGCCTTTTTGTTTCAGATTTCAACATGGTAATTCTGTTTACTAGTTAGTTGGGAGACATGACCCTTGGA